ATAGAGACACGCAGACATACACATAAAGACATAAAAAAAACCCACATACATACACACACAACAACAACAACAACCGCCATTCGCCACTAAGTGGCGGTGACGTCACCACGATGCTTGTGCCAGGCCAAGTGCACCTTGAGGCCACGTGAAGTGTCGAAAGCCCGCTGGCAGGAGGTCACGGGGCAGACCCAGGTGCCACTGGTCGACTGACCGAGATGACCGAGATGACTGGCTGATGCACCACCTGTGCCCCCTACTGTGCCAACTTGCTGTGCTTTAGCCACCCGGCGCTCCGCTCGTTGTTGTGAGCGTCGCTCCTCCGCCCTCCGTTGTTGTTGGAGGGCGACTGCCTCCAACTGCCCAGTAGCGTCCTTCACGAGCCTCCTCCACTGAGGCCGATCTTGACACCGCTGGTACCAGTCATCGGCAAGTCCACTCAGCTCCACGTCCTCCTGTACCACATCACTCCATCTCTTCTCCAGCCCGTGCCGCGCCCGTCTAGCCCCCTCGATCCGGCCGAACAAAAGCTGTTTAGGCATGCGGTGGCTGGGCATGCGGGCTACATGACCCAGCCAACGCAGCCTTGCCTGCCGGAGGAGCTCACTGATGGGACTTTGCCCAGATCTTTCAAGGATTTGTGAGCTCCTCACACAATCCAGCCTGGTTAAACCCAGGATGGATCGTAGGCAGGCCAGCCTAAATGTTTCCAACCGGCGAAGATGCTCCACCAGGGGGGTCCACGTCTCGCAAGCGTAGAGAAGGGAGGGAATGACCGTGGCCGAGAAGACCTGAAGCTTCGTGCGGAGCGACAGACCAGGTAGCTTCCACACAGCGTTACGCAACCGATGAAAAGATATTGCCGCTCGACTGATTCGGAGTGAGACCTCTGCTGATAGACTGGAGCCGGTCATAAGCACACTGCCCAGGTATGGGAAACTCTCCACTCTCTCCACAACTGCCCCATCACCAATTGGGAGTTGTGGGGGTGGAGTGTCCGATGGTACAAAATACCCAGGCAGGTGCTTGGTTTTAGTGGAGGTGATGGTAAGGCACACACATACATACACACATGCATACAGACACACAGACATACACATAAACACATACACACATACACATGACCCGGCTTCGCCCGGGACTTGGATCCACCACGGCGGCAAAACCGACATACATACACACACAGACATACACACAAACACATACACACACATACATACACACATGCATACAGACACACAGACATACACATAAACACATACACATGACCCGGCTTCGCCCGGGACTTGGATCCACCACGGCGGCAAAACCGACATACATACACACACAGACATACACACAAACACATACACACACATACATACACACATGCATACAGACACACAGACATACACATAAACACATACACATGACCCGGCTTCGCCCGGGACTTGGATCTACCACGCCCAGCCGCCTTTGTCTCCCAAGTGCCGATGTTAATACGCCACACCAGTTACTCGTTTGAGGCTGAGTGGACCTAGGGGAGGTTCAAATAATCGTCACCGGTGGTGGCCGTGAGCGGGAATGGAACTGGGTTCGCCGGGTTGGTAGCGCAGCGTAGCGTTAAGCACTACACCCACCGCTCCTCACACACCACACACGCACAGACACACACACAGACACACGCAGACACACACAGACAGACACAGACAGACACACACACACACAGACACACAGACAGCACGCTAAGCACTACACTACCGCTCCCCACACACCACACACGCACACACACAGACACACACACAGACACACGCAGACACACACAGACAGACACAGACAGACACACACACACACAGACACAGACAGCACGCTAAGCACTACACTACCGTTCCCCCTACACAACACACGCGCGCGCGTCCATAGGTACACATACACGCGCTTGCTGCAGACACACACGACTTTCAGGGTGCGTAAGGCAGTAAACGACTGAAATAATAAAGCGGCAATGCTGTGCGAGGAACGCCTTAGACCAGCAACACATTTGTGTAATGCGAGCGTAAACACACAAACACATACACACACATACATACACACACATACATACACACACATACACACAAACACATACACACAGACATACACATACACACAAACACACACATACATGCACACAAACACATACACAATACACACACACATACATGCAGACACAGACAGACACATAACACACATACATACACACACATACACACACATACATAGACACACACATACATAGACACACACATACATACACACAAACACATGCACACACGTACATACACACATACATAGAGACACGCAGACATACACATAAAGACATAAAAAAAACCCACATACATACACACACATACACACAAACACATACATACACATACATACACACATACATAGAGACACACAGACATACACATAAACACAAACACACATACACATGACCCGGCTTCGCCCGGGACTTGGATCCACGATGCCCCGCCGCCTTTGTCTCCCCAGTGACGATGTTCACACACGACAGCAGTTACGCTTTTGAGGCTGAGTGGACCTAGGGGAGGGCCAGGTCCGTTTCAAATAATCGTCAGCGGTGGTGGGCGTGAGTTGGAATCGAACTGGGGTCGCTCAAGCAGCTTAATGACTGTTTGTACAAAGAACATATAAAGAATCGATTATAATAACCAGGCAAGAGTCCACATTATAGACTGCCAGTACACGCACTCAGCTTCATAAGCAGGCTAGAGTGTACATGATAGAGTGGCAGTACGCTCACCGAGCTTAATAAGCAGGCTACAGTGTACATGATAGACTGGCAGTACGCTCACCCAGCTTAATGAGTATTTGTACAGTGAACATTAAAGTAATCGATTGTTGGCGCGTTGGGTTTAAAAGTAATATTAATAGCATACATTGTGGTGGGGGTGTAGTGAAGAGTAGGAAAAACTTTGATGAATTTACCTCAGAGTGGCGTGGTGGGTGTCGAGGCCTAGTAGCGTGCAAAGCCTGCGGCCTCGCCTAAAATTGTCGGCTTGGAAGAGGCAGGGTACGGGTGGCGTTCCTTCCCCCCCCCCTAGCGCTCCAACAATACTGTGTAATGGCTATTATTTAATTAAATACGGAGCTTATGAAAGTGGCGAAGGCGTGGCTAGCCGTTGGCAGGGGCAACCGCCGTCCAATGAAACTGCAGCCCTTGGCGAAGGCGTGGCTAGCCGTTGCCAGGTCCAATGAAAGCGGCGAAGGCGTGGCTAGCCGTTGCCAGGGGCAACCGCCGTCCAATGAAAGTGCGTATGGGCCAAAGTCCACACACACACACACAGACAGACAGACATGAACGATTTTATATATATAGATTATTAAGTACCAGGGACTCTATGAGATGATAGGACAATAGTCTGAGTCCATAATTGACAATAAGTAACGGCAAAGCAGTTATAAGTGACGCACAGAATTGTGCGCAGTTGCGTGGACAGCACACGACTTCCCTGAAGGCAAACACCTTCAGCGAGCGCGATGCCGATCACACCACGCGGTTCGATTTCGACCCTCGATCGTTGGCTGCACCATTGCCGCACACGCGTCGAATAAAAAGCAAGGGACAAGTCCTTACTAACAACTCCTCTATCATTTTTCATTGCTGGAGGGGTTGCCCCCCCCCCCTACCTGAAAATCCTGGCTCCGCCTTTGACCGTCGTGGCTTGTGCCACTGCTGCTGTCGAAGGGGCCTCCACCAGAGAGAGAGCTCCAGAGAGCACCCTCTGTGGAGTATCTTGGTCCTCTTCTTCCATGCTGGCAAGGCATTTGTTTGAAGTGGCGTGAGTACTCACACTTTACCCTACCGGACACAACCTGCCGGTCAAATAACTGTGATGTAGCCATTTGTAGTGTGTGATAGACAAAGGGGGTGGGGGGATTTAAGACCCCTGCTCATTGTTTGGACCGCTACGCCGCGAGCCCGAACTGATCGCCTCCAGCACGTTGTCGTTCACGTACTGACACACACACCGCCGCAGAATCCCTGTACCAGAATCAAATCTGTACATGGTGAGAAAATACCATCATAACGGAACGATACCGTAGGGGAAAACGCAAATATGCATCTGAAAAATATGCGAGAAAAGGGAAAAATATCGTTCCTGATTTATTAAATGGGCACTGGGGACTGCTCGATTTCAGCACTGCTGTTGAACTCGCGGTGTGAACGTCCACGTTCTTATGGCAGGGACGAGTTGTCTCCAATAAACATTGTTGAGTTCTCACCAAGTGGATGTTCACCGAATGGTATGCACTCTCCTGATGCCGGAGTTACGATGGGGTTGGGGTTGACTCGACCATGGCTGGAATTTGAACGTGCGATCTCATGATCGGGGGGGGAGCGTGGGGGGTGAGGTCATGCTACTTCTACAATCTAAGCAGTATCCTCTGCGAATAATTATAATATGAAGAAAAAAAACACAATGGGCAATAACATTTGAAAACAATGTAACACTGGAGAGAGGTCATAGGTGGAGGGAAAGCCAAAGTTAACGCAGGGGTTTGGCCAGGAGGAGGTTTGCATTCGCAATCGACTAAGCATCTGGGGACAAAGTGAGCCTTGTCGGAACCGATGTGGTTCCTGGTCACCAGAAAAGGGTCCCATTCAATGGGCTGTCCCCTTTAAAAAAAAGCAATTGATGAAGAAATAAAACTCGGCGGTATTTGACGTCTTTTTTTTGTTCGGATATGTTTCGTTTATATATTGCATGCACGCTAAATTGCATAGTCGACTGGTTAGGTATTTTTGTTTTGGAAACCAAGCCATGTGGTCACCGTAATTTGAAAAGCTAGCGCGGTACGCCGCATGGGTTGGACCACGACTGCTAAATATGACCGACGAACAGATAGAGACGCGATGCAACGTGTCAAGTTGGAAATAAACGAAACGGAGATGAAAAACAATACAAACTAACACCTCGTCGAGAATTCATTTAACAAAAAAATTTAATGGCTCCGTCCACAGCAAGCTCCCTGTTTTTTTTTTCTTTTCTTTCTGTGAGCCCTTGTCAGACAACTGTTTCTGTCTTTAAAAAAACAAATGTTAATGACATCACTGCAAAAGCATTAACTAACATCAGATACCAGTAACTAACCAAACAGGCAGGGAGACATCTTCAGAGTCAAGTCAAAACAGTTTAAATATTTGAAGCATTCAAGAGTTGTTGCGCATCATGCTATACGTTGAAATTATTATTCATATAATTTATTGGGTGTTGATACATTTACGAGTTTCTGAGCACGTGGCTTTTCTGCAGTCTCTCACGTGTAGGTGCACCGCACATATTGGGACATTTTTTTGTGTTTGCGTTGAGCTATACAATTTATTCATCGCAACACGAAAGCGTTTAAATAATACTATAATAACACATCGTCTATGTTATAAATATTGCAAGAAAATAATAAAATGCCCGGGCACACACACACCCGCACATACGTCAATAATACAGTTCAAAGCTGTTTCGTAGACTCGGGGCAATTTTTTTGCCAAATGAAATTCTTTTAAAATGTTTTCATTCTTACAACATAAATAAAGCAGTCAAAGCACGTGTATGATAAACTGTCTACAGCTTTACATACTTTACAAAAATTAATTATATTATTAGCTCGAAACTAACTTTATGAAACTGCATGCTGCATTTAACGGTATATATTTACCAATGATGAATGATCCATTCATTGCGATATTAAAGAGACCTTTGTGTCAGCGTTACCCTGCTCGTTACGGGAGACCGGCTCCTCGAACATTTTAAAATATTTATTAAAAACCATTTTCGGAGCACGTAAGCGATTGAAATCCCATTCCGTAATCGACAGTCAATTCAGGTTTCTCCAAAAATACCGTTAATCTGTATTAAACCCCCACGTAAGGTCCCAGCCTATGTGCTCTCATGCAGTGCAAGTAAAAGCCCCATCATTACGACAATTCACTGCGTACCCACTACCACGTGCCATGGCGCACACAAAACCATTGTAGATGATCTATCAAATGCAAATGTCATCAGAATAGAGGTGGTCGGGCAAGTGCAGAAAATGTACAGATATCGTCGACACGCGCTTTGTGAGTCCACGCGACCTTCAGGGAAACGTGCTGAACATTCAAGCGTCTACGGGTGCCAGCGTACAAGGTGTTCAAAAGCGATCGTGCCCGATGCGGTTGTTGGGGGTGGTTCGCGCTGCGTGACTGCTCGAAGCCCCGACACGATGGACATCGCGCTGATGAGCACGCGGCACAAACCCGCAAATGCATCAGAGCCACACACACAGCACGACGGAATTTGCAAGTTGGGCAGTGCAGCTTTTCCATTGTGTGTTCTCTTCGCTTGTCTTGCACAGCTGCACGGCGACAACAACAACAACAAAAACGAACCAGTGTTCAAGATTTGCTGGGGGGGAAAATTATATAATAAAATAATAAATAACATTACCCTGAATAAAGCCACCTGCAACGGCTACATATCTATTGCAGATGAGTCATTTGTATATATATATATATTTTGTGTTTGTTATTTAATAGCCCTAGATATTTTATTAACGAACGCGTTTTTTTTATTCGTTTGGAATTATTTGTGATTGCATTATTTTCCTTGGTTCAACACTAAAGATGGAATAAATACAAGCATGTAGAAAGTAGACATTACGTAAACTTAATGTGTGTGTGTGCCTGTATACAGCGGTAGTGTAGCGGTTAGCGCGTTGCGCAACTAACCCGGCCACCAGGGTTCAATTCCCGCTCACGGTCAACACCAGTGACAATTATCTGATCCAGTCCTGGGCATCCCCTAGGTCGACTCAGCCATAAATGAGGACCTGGTGCGATGTGTAACATCGCCACGAGGGAGACGAAGGCGGCCGAGCGTGGTGCTGGTCACCCACCCCCTCGTGTGTCGTGCCGGCCTTCATAGGTGCTCGCTAACAGCACTTGCCTCAACAGTCTGTTAAAGGCTACACGGGGGATCTTTGTCTTTGTATACACACACAGACACACATTTATCTCTTACGTACACAATGTATACTGCACACATTACATACGCAGCATATGACTGATCCATTGGTGAGTGACAATGACCGCACCGCACTCTTTATTTATGAACTAGAAACAAAACGAAGGGTTCGCAGTCAACGTTGACCAACTCAGTCGAGAAGAGAGAGAAAAACACATTATCCCGAGACATTCCTTCCCGTAAATATTTTGATATTCCGTACGCAATAACCTAAACGTATTTTATGAATGGAATAATTGACCATGAGAATGAGACAACTGGCGAGTGTGACGAATGTTTGGGTTATACAACCCCCACTCTGTACATGTGCACAAGCTTGGCACGACTTGTGGGACACAACGTGGAATTTTAGAAATTTGGTTCGCAACAGAGGATTGTTTTTGTCTGAGAACTCTCTGACTCGATACAATCACAAACAGTAGGAAATGACAGAGAGGAGGAGGAGGAGGGAGGGAAGGGGTGGACAGGGAGCATGGGGAAACATTCATTTTTGGAGTGCAAGAAAATTGCAATCGTCCCGTTGCACACGAGAGAGATGAGCATTTCGCAGGAACGCGGAGTCAAAATAAAACAAGCGCAATGGCGTTATACTGGCCATGAAGTGGATGTAAAACTTTCACATGTACAATATATATGTGGTGTGTGTGTGTGTGCATAGCGGGGGGCTACGTTGTCAGCGGAGGGTTAGGTTACTTAGGTAAAATCCATTGTTGCGTGGTAACTGTGCGTTTAACACCTCGTACTGCCCGCATTCACCGACCTGCACTGACCCTCGTGGCGAGGTATGGCCCGAATAACCGTCATATGACTCCAGCAGCACCGGGAGGCTCTCATACAGCAGCGGAATGACAAACACAATGGTGTGTTCTCACATCCTCTTGCGGTAAACTCAGAACACCTTTAACTGCCTTGAGAACTTGCACTGGGTGACCGTCGTGCAACTATTTATTGTCGTCAGCTGCAAGCAAAGGCCATCGGAAACATGTTGAGATAATCCAAATATTTGGAGACATGCAGCAGTGTGCATACGACAAAGCGTTGCATTCATTACGAAAATTCGTTTCTTACCCCTCCCAACCCCCCCCCCCCCCGTGCCCCTCCTGGTGACACAGGAAGGAGCGGGTTACTAAGGGGCCAGCATCTGGCCACAGGGACGGATCGTGTGACCGCCCTGCTGCTGCTGCTGCAGTGCGCACTCCGCACCTGTTGCTGCCTCTCTCTGCTGCCTCTCTCTGCTGCCGGCTGCTGCTGCTGCTACGACAAGCGGCCACCGCGTCCAGCCGTGCGGCAAAGAAGCCCAACCCGGCAAGCTGCCGCCGCTGCTGCCACTGCTTGCGCCGCTCTCATTAGGGCCTCTGCGTGCGCGCCCGCGTCCCTCGTGAAAGCCGATCCGGCACATCGTGACCGCAAGCATCTGGTGGTTTTCACGGGTAACTTCCAGGAAACCTCAGCTGCCCCGTAAAAGCAAAAATCGACGACAGTGGCGTGGCCACGCGCACGAGCGGGCGCGCGCGCGGGCGGGCCACGGCCTCCGTTCGAGTGCCGCCGTTCTTCTCGACTCGCATGGGGGGGTGGGGGGGTGGGGGGGGGGGCCGGCGGTGATTTTAGTCGTCGTTTTAATCCGCGTCATAGTCTGAAGTTTGAGTTGATGGCAACCTGTCGGATTTTAGTCGAGTCTCGTTTTTGTGGATCTCATTTGGAGTCACGCGGCTCTTGGTCGCGTGCACGAAAGCAGTGAATAATGTCGTCCCCACTCTTAAGTTGTTAAATGTTGATTTAGTCAGAATTTCGTGAACAATGTCTCATCACAGCGGGTCACACTTAATAAGTCTTTGTTGGGAAGTTGTAGGCATTGTCACGCCGAATGGGTTTCATCCACTCCCTGCCCTCATTGACAAATATTAATCACAAATCTCATGGACAAAATGAACGCTGGTTGTGGGCTAATAGCCTTCGTCACATGAATATTGTTGATTGTTTTTGGTAATGTGGATTCGGAGATCCTGTGATACACATCAGCGTAATCACACCGGGACAGCAAAGGTCCCCATTAGCCCGGGCAGAGTTTGCGATGAAGAAGATTCGGGGAAACACTCCTTTCATAAATTAAAACTGTTGGGAAGGTACACACAGAATGGATTTGCCTTTTAAAACAATGTGTTTTATAGCCAAGGAATATCCACGAATACAAATCTTACTCTCATATGTGAGTTGCTTTATACTCACAAAATGAGGATTGCCCTGATAAATGACATTTGTTACATGACACAGCCTTGCCAGAGACTCAATACGTTAAATTAAAACCGTATGCATTTTAAATTAATATATTTGTTAAATATTCACACAAAAAAAACTATATCCGTTTGATAAATCAAAAAGCTTACGTCTCCTTCATATTATATCGCACGAAGCTGCCGGTTGTCAGTGTCAGAGTTCATACAAATACTCCAAACATTACAAGTTTCAATCAACCTGCTCAACAATAAATACAAAATATAAATCCTATATATATATATTTCTTTTTTATGGGCCATTTTAGGGATCATTCTTACCAAAGAAAATAAAAACAATACGTGACCACGGGTATATGTTTTTGTTCCTAGTGGTGCTAAGCAAACACAAATACAATCGTTGTGGGGGATAAAAAAAAACTTGCATTGTGTAGGTAGGTAGTCAATCAAAATAAAGTTTCCTTCACTTCTAAACATCGTGATAAATAATAAGTACATGCATGAGGCTTATTTCATGATTTGTGTCTTAACGCATTTATTTCTATATATCTAACATTTTTTTGCACGTTTTTTTTTATCTTAATCGTTAGACATTCGTTTTATGAACAAAACACACGAATCACAGCCGAGACTGGGCCGACCCACTGTGTGCTTTAAAAAATAAATAAAAACCACCATCAAACTTTCGTGGTGATTTCCTCCAGATACGAGAGTGGCGAGTCTGGCTTGATGCTGACACACAGGGTAGCCGAGTCCCACGGGTGAGCCAGGGACAGAGGGCAGCAGTGCTCCTGCAGCCACAACGCTTCCTCGGCGCCCATCGTCGCCACGAGGCTAAAGTGCTCCACGTGCTCCTCCAGGAAGCCTGGCGGCAGAGGCTCCTGGGACTCCCCGCTCGCGAGCTCCTCAAGCTTTTGCAGCGCTCGCCGCACGATGTCCTTGGCGGTGCACGTGCTCGTCACGGGTATCTGCGGGCGCGGGGTGGACACGTCACTGTGACTCGAGGGCGGAGACATTGAGACTGCGTGGCGCCCTCTTTGAAGGACAACTTTTCGCTCGCGCAAAATTAACGTGCGTCCAGCCTCGTCGTACGCACGCATGGATGCGATGTGCAAGGAATGGGTTTCCGATTAAAAAATAAACGGTATTTAGCGGTTTGGGTGGGCAATTTTGTGTCTTTTTGGGGATTTTCAGATTTTGGAATATTCTACAAAATGTAATAATGTAACATGCGTTCATGCTCACAAAAGTGACATCACCCAATGCCACATGGTACAACGTTGGGTAGAAAAAGGTGTGTAACATGTGAGGTGATGTGATGTTTTGCTACCATATCCAAAAATTGGGAGCACATGCCTACAGCATACTTTTACGTATGAAACCCCGATTGGAATGAAATATCATCCAAAACAACCGACAATTCTGGCCAGATTAGACATTTCAGAAGATCTGGTAAAATAAAACCAAAAAATGTGATTGAAAGGAAAATAAGACGGCACAGGAAGTAATGCCATTAACGTCACATCGCGGCCATGCTTGTCCCATCAAAAGCGATGTAACGTGGCAACAGTTGACGCCACTCCTGTTAGCACGAACATGCTTACATTATCACGATATGTAAGCGACGTAAAAAAGTAATTGAAAATCCACCCCCAAAAAAATCAGAAAATGTCCTTAAAAACCCTAAATGTTGAAAACGGAAAATCATCCCCACAATGTGGCGTGTAGACGTTTATAGAGCCCGTCCCCATACACGCAAATCAATACACCGGCCTCGTTATACAAACATAGAAAACAACACCTCACTAGCAGTGGTGGGCAAGCAGTGTTAACGATGAATATGGTGAGTATTTTTATTGTACCTACATACATATCGCACGTTCAAAGTGGGGTTGATGATTATCTAAATAAGTACGAAAACAAAAACACGTTGTGCAAACAAACTTGCCTCGACGGAGTCTTCGACGGTAAATTCCGAGGGAAGCTGGAAGGAGACCCTTTGCAGGACGGCCGCCTCGGTCCGTGGGAAGTATTCCATCCCCTCCTCCGTCTCCGCGTCGCAGGCCTCGGCTTCTCCTAGCCGCTCGCACACTTTCCGACCGCCGTCGTCGTCGTCGGTGTCGCCGCCGCGCGCTTGCCCCGCCGAGGTGGACGGCGCCGACGTCCCGTCACCGTCCGCCCTCTCGTCCTCCGGAGCATCGACGCAGTCCAGCCGCATTACCCGCTTGTTTTCCCGAGCCGCGTGGAAGGCGGCGATGAGCTCCGTGTCCTCCGCGCGGCTCTGCGCGAACACGACGCTCCTCCATTCCGCCTCCTGCTCCAGGTAGCACGGGCCCCTGAAGGCGGCCTGCGGGCCGTCTCCCGCGGCGCCGTCCCGGCGCTCGGCGGCGCCGCGTTGACGCGGGCAGCGGCGGCCCCGGGCCGCGTCCGCGTCGGCCGCCGCTTCGGGGCCGTCGAGGTTCATGCAGCCGAACAGCCCCTCCAGGTCGCGGGCCCGCGAGCCGCCCCCGCCCTCGGCAGCGGCGGCGGCGTCGGCCCGCCGAACGTCGTGCGCCTGGAGGACGTCGGGCGCGGCATCGTCGAGGTCGTTGCCGCGCCGTGTCGCGCCGCCGCGGTCTGGCGTGGACGCGTGGGCCGCCGGGGCCGTGTAGAGCAAGTCGAGCTCCTTGGGGCTCTGGGCGCAGCTCGACTCGTAGTCGCTGTCCGTGGGGAGGAAGACCTCGGACAAGCCGTCCTCGTCCGACGTGCCCTGCAGGTCTGGCGGCGCGTGGCGAAGGTTCACACGCGCGGGCGTTAATCTCGATGCGGTATAGAACGATGCAATTGCGGTGCCGGCATACTGAGAGTGAGCACTCCATGGTGCTCATCCCGGTCGGCAGCCGTTAAGAGAGTGGTGAGTTTCTCTATTTCTATCCAGATCAAGATGTCATCGTAGCCACTGAGGCCAACGGACCTCACCAGCACTTTCTGCCCTCCACCAGGCCCGATCAGACCGATACTTTCGTCTCATCCCTCTTGTGTTCAACCATCAAACCGCAGCTCACAACAACATGCTCGCTCAACACACTGCAGGTCACAACGCTTCCCCTTTATTCTGCTGCGCTCCTTTCCCAAGTTCGTATAATGTTGCTCAAATCACCAACGTATTAGCTGCGTTGTCTAACTATGTCCTCAAAAGTGCCGTTTGCTGGTGGGCAATAGGGAGCATGTTCTCAGCAACTGGGGGCTTTGAAAAAGGGAACCACTTTCCCCAGGCCTGCCAATTGCAGAGAAGGAGTGAGTCAATATCAAACCCAGGGCTGAAACCAAAACCAGACCATAGTAATAGGTTTTAACCCTTTCAACTGGTACAAAAACTGACACCTTTATACAAGGGATCATGTTTGTAATAACCACAACACAAGCAGTCAAAATGCAAACAAAAATAAACTCTGATGATATGCACTGTCCTTGAAGTTGTTTGGTCCACACCCGAGACAGCTTTTCTTAGAGCCTAGTCTCCATTGGTGTTGGACCAGATGACGGCAAAAGGCGTACAACCCCAAAACGAGACGGGCGAGGTGGGAGCGCGACGGGCTGTGGCGCTGTGCACACGCGAGGCGAGGTCACCGTTGTAGGCGGTGCGGCGCAGCAGGTCCGGGGAGGGCGACGGCGAGGGCAGGTACTCCATGTTGGACGACGTCGAGTTGGGCTTGGGGATGAGCACCTCCTCCGATGTGCCGATGAGCCAGCGGATCGGGACGCCGCTGGGCGGCTGCTTGTAGCGCGCATGCTGCAGGACGTTCATGATCCAGCGGCTCTCCTTCCAGACCTCGTCCACTTGCTGCGAAGAGCACCGTCGCGGATGGCAGTGAGCGGACGCGATGGAGCGGCGTACACGCACGCACTCCTACAGATCGACGTGTACTTAACGTGCGCACTTTTACGGAGAGGATGCTACCACGGTGGTGTAATGAATGGTTATCACGCTGGACTTGCGATCCAGCTGACGCCGGTTTGAATCGATCTCCTGGTGTGCGGGCAAGTTGAAACAATGAAGCAAGTTCCCCCCCCCCCCCCACCCCCCTTACTGCCTCTGTCACCTCCAGCAGCGTAAATGATTTCACCACAGTTATTCGATCGGCAGGTTTCACGTTGTATGGTAAAGTGCGGGACCTCTTTCAAGACATCAAGCTAGCGTGGAAGACAACGGAGCAAACGCACTCGATAGGGCCTCTCTCTAGTGAAGGCCCGTCTGCTCAGCAATAGCGTGAGCAAGAAATTGGAGGGCTGAACTGTTCCTTTAACTTCAAATGATTGTTTACACGTGCCTTTTGACGGCTCTGTAATTCATTGTATTGCCTGCAAATGCAAGTTGGTATTCTCTCATTGTGCAACGAATGAAACAAAAATACAAATAGAATCGATGGAGTAGAACTCTCCGGTGCGGTTTCGGGTTGCACCGCGTGTGTGATGCTCCGCACGATGTTCGGCGTTTCGCTCCATGTACTGGGAGCTTCTTCAGGAACAGAAGAATTAGCGAAGCATGGTCAGGAACTGAAGAATCTCCCAGTACGTTGAGCGGAACATCAAGTTGAACAACAAGTGGTACAACCCAAAAACACCGCACAACCGCGAAAACCTATGGAGCAGTACTAACCCCAAAGAAATGACTGGCTACGTCAACCCCCATTCAAGATCTGAAGTTGCAACCTTCAGATTGTCAGCCAGACACTATGACTACTGTGACACTTGGCTGCTGACTGTGTACAACATTCCTGCTGTCCGTCTTCGTCGACCCCCTCTCCGTCACCTGTCCCCCGCCGGCCCCCCTAGTGCCCACGGGTCCCCCCAGGCCTTCCTGCACGCGTCCCCAATATCTCACGGCGGCGCACGCGACCTGCACAAAGTCCAGCACGGCCTGGTGACGCTGCTTGGCCACGACGAGCTCCCCGTCGGAGAAGGCCTCGCGCAGCGCCTGCTGCGAGAGCAGCAGCTCCAGGTCGAGCAGCGCCGACAAGCAGCAGTAGCGCGAGATGAAGGCCCGCTCGAACGTCAGCAGGTGCACTGGGGCGACACGGCAGCAAGCCCGGCGTTATGCGAGGCACGCGCTGCACCGACCGAGGTAGCGTGATGCGGTGACTTGGTGGAGAACAATGCGGTGCATGCTAAGGCAGGTTTAAGCAGGGCCTGATTCTAGGCGGTTGGCATCGATGGCTGAGGTTGGGGTTTGTGGCTGGGGTGGGGGGGTTTGGACGACCTGGACATTACCCCCCCTGGGTTTCAGCATGTGCCCACCAGGCATGTAACAATGTTGGCTATAAGAATCAAGTCATTGTTGTGAATGTTGTGACTCGATGGGCTGCAGGGGTCAAGTGAATCCATGACGTAGGATGCAAAGGACTCCAAAAAGTTGATTCCAGCAAGCGATGGCATCATGCGCATAAAGATTAATTACGGTTTTATACATTGTTCCATGCCAAATACTCACCCCATAATTATTATAAACAACAAATAAACCTCTAAGCTGAAGGTTTATATTATTTTTTTATTGAAGTAAGCGTTTCTCAACGCTATTTTGTTAACCTATATAACTGTTAATGTTGTCATGGTAACAACATAATACTCTGGGTACTATATTTTGCAAAAATAAATTGTTGCTATAAACAAACCGAATGCGAAACCTAAACTATAGAACTTGTAATTTATTGCTATAAGGTTTTAACTTTAAATGAAGCGTTATGGCTACGAATAAACAAGTCAATAGATTAATTAATAACTAAAAAAAGTATTTGAGAAAAAAATCCCACCACTGGCACGCCTGACTAGGACTCACATTTCAAACTCACAAGACAAGTTTGTTTTTGAAGAAGAAGAAGACGAGAATGCAGAACGTGTGCTCCTGCCACATCATCGCAAACAAGCCCTAACTCAAATAACACCAGCGTGGTTTCGTTTAAAAAAATTAAATATATATCGCATTTGGCTCATCAACGGGGTAATTCCACGTGGGACAACCAGCGTTTATAGACCACTATTTAGCTCACATTAGAACGCTGTAGACTGTGCAGACATCCCCCCCCCTCTCCCAAAAGAAATTAAGCCGCTGGATGGAACACTGTGCACTCTCCCTGCCGTGAGCAAAGGGGCAATTCAGGGAAACCCAGAGTTCTTGTTGACATCATCTGAATCACCGCTCGTTATCTAAAAAAACAGCGTGACCAAGAAAAAAAAGCTCTATAGCATTTCTCGATATTTGTGTGTGCGTGTCAGCGGTGGTGCTGTGGTTAACGCGCTGCGCTACGAACCCAGCGACCCGGGTTCGATTCCCGCTCACGGCCAAGACCAGTGGCGATTGTCTAAACTGATCATGGGCCTCTCCTAGGTCGACTCAGCCTCAAATTACTACCTGGTCCGATGTGTAAACATTGTCATTGGGGAGACAAAGACGGTCGGCCACTTGCCCCAACAGTCTGTTAAGGCTACACGGAGGAATCTTTGTCATTGGTGACACAATCGTTCGCTGAAAACCGGCGCAGCAATTCGAATCTTTACACGAGAAGAAACCACAATGCATTTCTTCTAGAAATGGTGGTTTTGCATACTGCAAGAAGGCCACGAGCTGTTTGTATATGGAGTGTGTGTTTGTGTGCGTTGTTGAAGCTTCCCAGCGTGGCCGTTGAAAACTCTGCTTTCTTGAACCTCCTTGCCTCTGTCCAGCCAGCAGCGTAAATCGTTTCACCGCGGTGAGCCGATTTGGCAGGACGCATGTGGTGGGGTAACGTGTGGGTGCTCCCCACCCCTTCCAAGACATCTGGCCAGGGTGGAAGAGTAGGCCAAAAACTCTCAACAGTGACTCTCTAGAGCTGCCTCGAGTGAAAGTCCTTCACACATACAGTGGCGTGAGCAATCAATTGCAGACCTGTACCTTTACCTTTATGTGTGAGTATATTTGCATAATATATGCTTCAAAAACATTATGCTGATACCACAGTTTCAACTGCGTTACTGAATGAAATGACTATTTGAAGGATGAAGTATATCCCATAAAACATGATTAACGTAAATCACACATGACAGAAGCATTTGAAACAATCAAACACCTCTCACATGTTGATGCATGTGCCCAATAACATGGTGGAGGTTTAGAAGGATGAGACTGACAGTTTGTATTAATACTACCGTGCCTGTGTGTGTGCGTCTCGTCTAATTATAATCCTTTAATAACGGAATATACCTTGACGAGCACACACCTTGCAATTTTTTAATAAATGATTGTTCATAATAAATTATGTAAAATGTTTAAATAGTGTGGCAAAAAAATTACAATGAAAATTTCCGTGCTGTAAATCGACGGTGGTTTGCTTTGCTCTTGGATGCTAACAAGGATTGTATGTGAAGGTTATCCACCACAGCAATTAACATTCACAAATTAAGTGTTCGTTTCTGCAGTAACTTTTCATTTCCTTCAAGTGATGCCAGGAAGGGCTAGAGTAAAATTAATGCAACTCCCAATTGCATAGTTGAACTGCAATTGTAGGTATACAATTTTATTTACATTGCCACGTAAAATATATACGTGCAGACTGTACGCTCGTGAAAATGTAACCAATACCACGTTTTATTATTCTGTGTGTTTAGACTTTGCCAAAAATAAAAACGAAAAGTGCAGTGGTTTGAAATAGCTGAGATGCCTCGCATAAAGGTGTTACTGTGGTCTGGTTTACATAGCACAAGGTATGGTGTTAGCCAGCAAAAGGTGTGCGTAACATTATTAAGACTGTGTTAACATCACAGCCCTGGCATGTAGGGTAAGGAGAGAGTGAGGCCATGCAGGTAATTGTTGCCATGTAGCCTTCGGTAATTTTGACCGAAGAATAATGAATGAAAGAATCAATCATTGTTCTGCGATGTGATTTTTCACCATCAAAATGTATATTTATAAGCCGCCCAATCCTACTGCCACAATCTCACTCCTCGGTGACAGTGACGTTCTCAAAAAAAGTGCACACGCTATGAAGAATGGCAAATTAATTAATCACGTTATAAAATAATACGTGCGTTATTTAATAAATAAAAATTGTGTTTAAACAAAGTGAAGCCTTTATTGATGGGACGGTCGATAGCTTATAGTAGCTGGATCGACCGCTTGCACGTTTTCGGTCAAAAACAATGAATTGCAATCCACAAACGGAATTATCCAACGCTGAGGTCAACGTTTGGCTCGGCACACTGAGCGCCCGTCTGCCGTCACACCACCGACAGAGGAGGATGATGCAGCACCCGCGAGTGGCTGGAGGTTGCTCGCGCTGAACCAGTGCCTAGGTTACACGCAGCAGAACTGTGCTTCAAAATACAAGATTACCTCCCCCCCGCCCCCCTCTTAAACTTGATATTAAGCTAATGCATAAATACACACGCACACGTAGATTTGGCAGTCACGGCTCCTCGCCTTGCTCTGAAGGTTTTTAAGGTGAGTGAAACACCCGGGGCTCAGAGATGCAAACAAAGGCCCCATTAAATGAGACAAAAGTAACGAGACACGGTTCAACGCACCTACGGGCCCCTGACTTGATGATGAATCTCGGATTCTGCCACGTGAGCATATGCGGTGTTTCAACTCAAAAGTGAAACTGTCTCTCTTAATCGACTGTGGAGTTTGACTTCATCGCCATTGGTCCTCGGGAGCTGGTGATGGGAAAGTCCACGTTGTTGTGGCAGGCGTGAGTCGATGAAAGGACACGCACTATTTACTTCCTACGTTGTGGTAACTCATGATATCGACCCTGCCTAGGAATTAAAGATGCAACTTTCTGATTGCCAAGCTGAGCCAGAATCAAACCATGAAACTCGGGCCTCACAAAACAACTGAATCTGGCTCGGGGCCATGCTGGGCTAGGGGTGGAGTTAATAATGCTCGTCGTATGTTGCGAAAGTCAGCACGCTTGAGCGTGTGGCGCTGATGTCAAACGTTGATTGTGTCTGACGTCAGCGGCACAGCTCGGCTTCCCCAGTGGAAAACAACAACAACCTGGCGCTTGCAGAGACGTGCCGGGCTGGCCCTGGCATGGCCAGGTTGTGCAGTGGAAAAAAAAGAGGTGTAAGCACAGCACCACCAGTCCAGACTGTTACAATCAGATTGGCATTGCGTGGATGGGCCTGCCTGTATGCGGGCGACGACGCGGTTCGATGGACGCGACCCTACCGATCTCAAAGATCTGCAGGGGCAGAGCGATGAGGCCTGAGAGCGTTGGGTATGCGTTGCTCTGGCCCGGGGCAACACAAACGTCATCCGAGGGAGGCAGGAGGAGCATGAACGACACCCGGTCTCCAAACTCCAGCACCTCCTGGTTATAGATGCGGAACTCCTTGGCCTGCGTACAACAAAATACAGAGAGGCAACCATTTATTACAGGTCAAAACAAGGAAGGACAATCATGCATGCGCATGGATTCCAAAACGCTCTCCGACGCGCGTTTGTTCTCGGAGGTGTTTAATTAGCGAAGATAATGATACCTTCTGAGCCATATGATGTGACGTCAACACGGTGCACGATGTGCGATGTCACGAGATCATGTCGTCATGATACACACAATTCCATAATCTGGAGACACGAACGTCTAATTGAAGGTTATAAGTAACCGGAGCCGTGTCGCGCTCGCGCACCTGATGTGGAGATATGTGCAGCTGTTTCAGGAGGGCCGACAGCGCACAGCTCAGCTGCTTGAGGAACACGTCTTGGCTGGAGCCTGGGCCCCCGAGTCCAGGGCCACCTGCGATGTCCACGGGTCCCGAAATCCGGCTCAAACCTTCCCACTCCTCACTGGGACACACGGACGAGGCAAGAAGCTCCCACTGCGTCTGCATTCGTTGAATTTCCGAGCAAAAGTCAAAAAGTGGTTTCCTGCTCAGATGAGCGGCGATGTTGAGCTCATCGCCTATTTGGAGGCCTAAACCAGTGCCAGAAATGTTACGCTTCTATGGTGGGGGGCAAGTCCATCCATAGGACTTCCACTGTTGACTTCTCCCACAAAGTGGTACCTAGTTTAGTGATCCCCAGAGGGACGATGGGCTAAGTCAACCCCGCAACCAGGATTTTAATTCGCAACCTTCCAAACGGGAGTTGCTGGCTCTGCTGCTGCTGAGTCGCTGAGCTGGGTTATTCTTAACATCTCCTGAAGTCTGTAAAAAAGAAGAGCTTCATAGCTCATCAGATTTATCCAGGATAAATAAAGACTCCGATTAATGGGCATGTTCATTTCATCCATTCATTCATTCATGGGTGCATTTGATTCATACATTCACACAGTTGTCTACAGAATTCATTCTTTTTTTGTTATTCGTAATGCAATCCATTTATTTATGCATTGCGTGTGAATGCACTGTGAATGCATTATTTATATCTTGTACATTATTCATGTGTGAAATTACTTATTCATACACACGGCACTTGCTTATTTATTCCCTATTTATTAATAATTTCAGCATTGCTTAGTCATATTAAAATGCTTCGTTACCATCAGATAAACCAACTGGTTAATCATTGTTTACATTGCTTTTATTTGTATGCTTTTTGACCCAAATGTGTAAGTTGTAAAATATTTTTTTGTTCATTTCTGTATATAAATATTTCATTATGGCCCCATAAAATATACAGCGAGTATTCTTTGGGTCTTTTGGTAAAGTCATGTAGATAGGTTCAAAGAAAATAACAATCTATCTACGTGACTTTACCGAAAGACACGAAGAATATGAATTCCTGCAGTCACGAGGGCTTTAAGTCAAAATTTATACAGCGAGTGTTCAGCCAGTTAGCTGACGTCACATTACAACACATACAAACTAAATGCCAGGACACGACGGAACATTTACAAGACCGTGGCTTCAGTATATTGTTCATGGGATTCTGCCATGGCCTAATGGTGAGCACAATGGACTTGGTGCAGACTGGGAAGATTTTAAATTCCCTCCCCTCTAAACACCAATCAGTGCAAATGGGCGGCAGTACATTTAGTCGATCGGCAGATCACACGCCGTGGAATCAAGTGTGGGTACTCCCACCGATTCCCAGATGCTATGGCCATCGTGGAAGAGTAGACCAAATTACCAAGTGGAGGGCCTTTCAAGAGATTCCTCGAGTCAGGGCCCCTTTCCGCCAGCACTCGCGTGAGCAAGCAAACGCAGGACTGAACCTTAAAGTACGAAGAGAGAAAAATGGGGTTCTCACATTCGCCAGCTATAACTGTGAAACGCTGATCCACGGTTTAAACAAAATGTAATCTGCAATCCCATGCACGGCGGAGGAGCGGTGAGGCTAACAACATTTCTGGAAAATGTCTAAATCGTGCTCCCTGCGGGCTCATCAGCCAAGCATTCCGCACAGCAAGAGCCAAACCCAAATTAATTCTCTTCGACAACTTGACTCGGTGAGGGAGTGGGGGCTAAGATCTCCATATACTCATTAACCGGCTGCTTTAATCTGCAATAAACTCCATCGAAAAGCAGTTGCTCTGAACGCTGCCACTCAACGCAAAGGAATTGTTTTTCTGTCTCTGAATTTTTTGATGCTTTTGTAACTGAAGCCCAGGCATTTTTGCTCTTCTGCTGTCGATGCCTGGTCTCCAAAACAGCCACCTCTACTGAGCCCGAGCCTTTGGTGTGCATCAATAAATAATTTTTATTTTTATGCAGACACGGTCCCTTACTTGGATATTTTGGCATAACGTGCGCTATTTATTTTCCAAATATTCAAAGCCCAGTTTCTAGTTTTCAATTTGAAAGCTAAAGCAAATAAAAACCGCAACGAAAATTCCTATAAAAAACAGATTTTTGTTTCAACCCACCCCTACCCCCACCCCAATTCATTTTGTACCACAATTATGATCTGCGTTCGTATTGAGCATTTCGATGTTTTTTGTACTACAGTTCGGTTCCTTTAAGCCGCCGTCGGACGCCTTGTTGACAAAAGAGGCCCTTGTTTTTTTGCGAAACAAAAATACGAACAGTGCCTCCATTAGTCAACATACACCACGTTCACAAGGGGCGCCTTGTTTCAAAATGACCTCTGTAAAAATCAAGGTTTGCTCCATCAACATACATTGTTGTACTCCGTGAGGGCCGGGGTGGTGTGTGGCCACGTCACGTGTGAATAACACAACAAACAACAACAACAACAAAAGTTTCCCACCGGATGGCACAAAACCCATCATCGCCACCACCGCCGCCAATCATCGTCGCTCTTAATTCCTCGTGGAAGCGCACAAGGGGGGGCTGGAGGGGGCGCCGCACGTACCGAGAGACGTGGGGATTGTCGCGAACCTTGAGGTGCACCAGGCTGTTGGGGATGCGCTGTGGCACCAGCACCTTGATCTGGTCCACGGAGCTGCACAGCTTCAGGTATCCCAGGTAGAGACCGGGCGGCAGGGTCTGTCGGCTCGCCCGGTGGTAGGACAGCTTGTCCTGAAAGGAGGCGGGTGACGGCGTGAATCGGCGTTGTGCGGCCGGCACGGCTGCCCGTACGCTAGCGCCTGCATTCTTTACGCATTAGAGCTTCCCAACCCCCCCCCAAACCCCCCCTCCGCTGGACAAAAGAGATTGTATTGTATGTATAGCTCCTTAGCGTTTTTTTTTCTCCCATAGCAATAGGACGAATCCATCTGTGCAGAAAACAAATCTTTATCGGTTTAGTTTGTTGCGATCAACACTATACTCGAGGGCACAAATGATTTTCAGTTTCATTTATTTGGTATATCCCTGTGAGCCATTCGGCTCTTGAATCGGGTGCAACCGCAACAAACAAAAGACAAAACATGAACAAGAAAACATCTTAAAGTGACTATGTGACTATGTGCAAATAGAAAATCCAGGAAAAAACTGCAAAATGATGGGACGCTGCCATGGTTGCTATGGTTACCACAATGCACTTGCAACCAGAGGGCCAAAGGTTCTATTCGATTTCGTGGTGAGGCAGTTTAAAAGGTTGGTTGCAGTTTTCTTAAAGCCCCCAACCTCTGTCCACGCAGTAATATAAAAATGTGTTCCCCATTTAGTTTATAAGTAGGGAACGTATGGTGGGGTAAAGTGTGGGTATACCCAACTCTTACAAGATGTCGAGCTCGCGTGGAAGGGCACGTAACATCCCCTCTAGGCCCCGTCTTTACCTCCCAAACGAATTGCAACCTTGGATTATGAAGCCCCTGGCTTTATGTTTGTGTCATCATCACAGACAAGCAGAGTCGGGCTCACGGTGGGCGCGCTGATGACACGGCTATTGTTATTAACGACACATGCAGCCCGTGTGGTTTAGAGCCCAAAGTGGTGTCACTCAGCACCGTTTGTTCACTTGTACAACGTGTGTGTCCAGTCACACAATGGAGCACTAACGTTAACGACACCCCTGCGTGAATGGCGGCAATACATCAGTGTATTTCAATGACACGTAAAAAAGGGCCACCACAGTGGTTAATGAAATACTATGAAAAAAATATAGTACAGCGCTGCTGTGTTCATATGCCAAAAGAGTGCTATTTTAATATAAAATAACCATCTCATAATAATACTACTACTACTAGTCTTTATTTACCTAGGAAATCGCCCCTGAGTCTTCAGGATCACTTTCAGGAGGGGTCATGGGGAGGTCTTCATTCAACAGTGAATAGATCATGACTGCTGCTGCTGATGATTTAATAAAGCAACCCCCTTTGTTCATCCTAGAAAACCTGAGTCTTAAGGGTATTATTCAGGAGCGGTGAATGGGTGGCCCAGAGGTCATTGAGCTGAGCCGGCACCGTTGAGGACCTGGGTTCGAATCCACGCAGCCATCTACGATTGAACCGGGTTCTCAAGTGAAGTGAGTTGATGGTGTTAACATGGATCATCAATGACTGGCAATAGATTTCGTTTGGCCGCTTAATGTGGCTAAATTCCAACGCTGACAATTAAAAATATGACTTTTAGTGTCACGGGACATTCGCGAACACGAAGGGCTGCACTGTTTTGTGAGAGATACAATGCATACTTTGTCTGATGATACAACGCCGATAAAATACAATTAGGGAAAATATAAAAAATTTTTTAAAGAGGGTTCTACTTCGGGCTGTGTTGTCAATTCCATAAACGAGTGCTTGGTATGTGGGAAGACACCAGAGTACTTTGATATGAATACAAAATCTCCAGACATTTACATTCAGGAATCTCTGGCTACGCCGACATTTGTAGACTTGCAACACACAAGTCTACACCACGTGGAATTGTCAGGAGGTCCTCCATCCAAGGACTAACCAGATTCATCCCCGCATACATTTCAAGGTTTGAAGAGACACGGCACATTCAGGGGTAATTTGGTCAGAGGCTCATATTAAAGTTTTTGGGTTAGATCGCGTTATTTATGAATGTGTCGTAACCCTCCACCACCCGACACGGCCAATCAGCAAAAAAGTGTCACGTTGACAAAAGACAAATAGTTCACTACTTTAGCCCACCGGTGTGTTGGCCATGTCGGGTGGTGGAGGGTTACGACACATTTATAAATAACGCGATCTAACCCAAAAACGTTTATTATGAATACTATTGGTCGCGAAAGCCTACGTGTTAAATTGGTCAGAGGCTGCACTATTCCATCATTCCCCTCTGGGTCCACAAACTGATTATCAAATTGTGGGAAATCAACAGCGGGTCATTGTGTGTAGACGGATACCCCTTGAAGTGGGAATGTGGAATGTTCACCACCGGTTCGGGTGAACCGGAGGAGATGAGTCACACAGCCCCAATCGTTGTTTAAGCATGCGGGACACTTCGACTTTCAGCTCAAGAGTTTCGAGCTTCAAGTGACAAATTAGCCAACAAAAAAGTCACAATATTGAGTCATGCACGAGGAATGTATGGGGGATGTAAAAGGTACGTAATCCATAGGGAAGTCAGTGGTAAACGATAGATTTATTTTTTAAAACACCCATAACATTAAATTTACTGAGATGAACAAAAGCATTGTAACCGGCACCGTATAAGGCAAAGGAGTTAAAGTTGCAAGATCACATCACCCGTTTGGGAGCACATTCCCATGGAAACAAACTGACATCTATTTAAGAATTTTAATTGACGAGTGTATGTTCAAAAGATGAGTGTGTGAGGTTAAACGTGTCTTCCATTTCATTCAATGTTCTGATTTAAAGACCCTGCAATGGCAATAACAGACATATGTCCAGGTAGGGATAATTGTTATTTGACTCTATGACCCCGATGTGTGCAAATTGCCTTTGACGGGGCCTCTACAAAGGGTTTCCAGGAAAAGCCAGCGGTGTGATTACAGTTTATACAAAAACAAAACACACAATGGCTGACAGCTAGCATCCTCGGTGTGATCATCACTGCGTTTATAGTTCCTGGAACACTTTACGTACATTAGCATTTGCTAAATAAAATAAATCTATTGTTTGAAGTATGCAAGCCATGGTTATTCATAAGAAAAATATACTCCGACTGGGCACCACTTTCAAAGGACTCTACTATTAAGTGTTGTGGGTGTCGAATGGCCCAGAATACTTTTTCTGTCTGTTCACAGGTATGTGGTGGCCACGCGTGCGTTCCTCTTGTTGTTGTCGTCGCTGTGCGAGTGTGTTAACTGTGCTGCTTTAATTGCGTGTATGTGCACGCGTGGCTTGTTTGTGAGTACACATGTGTGAGAAGTTGTGCAAATTTGCAAATAAGTTTCTCTTGCTTCAATGTGAGCACACACACTAGCAAACCTGTGCAAGCTTGGTCGTGAGACTCTGCGAGGACATTTGCGAGGACAGTTTCGGTACGCGCATTTGTAGACGTGGCACAGTTCGTCAAATCAGCAATCGAACACATGCACTTCTTGGCGTGAGGCACAAGCGTTTGCTCACACCACACCATTCTGAGAGCAGTGCGGAGCTTGTCACGTAACCACCCCGCGTGCCACACCGCACTTGCCCTTACGATCCCGTGAGGCTACTTCTGCTTTGTCTGTGTGTGTGGGGTGATTAAAAACATTTTTTTTTTCAAATTTTATTTGAGCAAGTAAGGCCCACGGAACTATACAGCTCTTTCTCAGAAGCGACCTGGCCACAAATGACAGCACAACGAAGTGGCTTGTCACGTGGAAATTGCAATTCCCTGAACACGTGCTTCTAAACGTGGAGGGAAAAACCGGAAGACCCGGAGAAAAATCCGCACGACCACGGGGAAAGAGAGAGAACACACAAACTGTAAATATGCAGCAGGCGCCAGGGTCGGGATCAAACCCACGACTTCCTGCATCCCAGGCGAGGTGGTTAGCATCTCGCCACCGTGGCACCCAGGGAGTCACCTGGAGGGTGATGAGCAGGATGTCGAGGGCCGAGGGCTCCTCGGGAGTGGAGAGAGACTTGCGCTGGCTCTGGAGCCGGCTCACGTGTTGCCAGCGCCCGCCCGGCAGCCCCTGAGGGGCCTCGACCTCCCGGAGGGTCACCAGCAGCGCGTTGCCATGCTTGTCCTTCACCAGCTCGTGGTACGGCTGCCCCAGGTCCTGTGTTCCTATCAGGTGCTGTGGAAATAGGCAGGGCACGTACAACGCATCGGTTTTGTGACAGGTGAAAATAAAAAACCTGCACGCAAGACAACCGCTCTGTTGTATTTAACTAATGTGCCTTGAGTCGTTTCTTAAATTGTTTGTGGAAGGGGTGCATCAAAATGTATTGATGCATTGATTAACATGGATTATTGCACGCAGATCACGTGCCTAAGAATTGAGATTGTGTCATTCGAGTACGTTGCAAGTCGTGGGTTCATGTGAGGCCCACATGCTACATTCGCAATGTAAAAAGTAAAAAAAAATTATTGAATCAAATCGCTACCCCTGAATCATGGCAATTCATTAAATCGCTGGAGAAACATGGCACCAGGGAATACAGTTGTTATTATTGTAACTATACAGTGTCATAGATTTACTGCATAGGTATCCCACTGATCTATAACGACACCTGCCACTTTCTTCTCAACGGGTGATGGCTCCGTAGCTTAGAAGATGACCAAAGAAGGAGGGTGGTAGCATGGACAGAAATTCGCAGGTCCGTGATTCACACACACACACACAATATCTACTCCAATGTTGCAATGTCTTCCTGTTATTTTAACGGGAGGGTATCTATAAATACATCAACGTGTATAATGTTATGTAAATCCACGTTAGACATTCGGTGCCTCGGAAACCATAAATAAATATGCATATAATGAGGTCATATTTAAGGGAACGGGAATTTTTTTTTTCAGACAGAAAAGTCGCCAACAACACGTGCCTTGCAATCACGCATCGTGCCTTTTTACAAGTGCGGAAGACAGTGTCCCAACATAACAACGCGCCCAACACACAGGGCCAATGCCAAAGGGTGCAAAGGAACGTATACACACGAATGTACTTTATAGTTTGGGTATATTTTATACATTTACTTAGGCTGCGTGAGTGGCGCTGTCATCCAGGTGCTGGGCTCGCTATTGGAAGGTTGCAACTTCAAATCCTGAATTGGGGGGGGGGGGGGGGGTTGATGCAGCCAATTTTTTTACTGCACAGGTTTCCATGGATGTGCTCTGGCATTCGGAATGTATCGCTGTCCATGGACACCGCATCTAACCTGGACCCAACGAGTCCCCAAAGTAGAAGTAAGAAAAAAGTGGCGCATCGAAGAAGACCTGACGATGCAGGCAGTGATGAGAAGGAAACCGGCACTATTTGGACACACACGTGGAGGGTGAACAACAACAGGAACATCAAACGTGCGTTGATGTTCGTGAAAATATGGAAGGAACAGGAAAAAGAGGAAGACACAAAACAGAGAATGGCTTGACGAGATTGGTGCCAGAAAGATGTGGCACTACTTGAGCATATTGGCACAAGACAAAGCGGAAAGTGGAAATAAATTATGAAATGTGCATTAGACACCTACGGCTATCTGCACATGGAGTGTGGTGATGATGATGATGATGCAGTTTCTGGTTGTCCCTCGTGCTGTTTGGCACGATGTCCGTCCGGCATATTCAGATCCTGAAGAAGCTCCCAGAACGCGGAGCGATACGTCGGACATCGTGCCCAACGACAACACGCAGTTCAGCCCCAAAATGCAGCCAAGAGAGATATTTCTCTTGGGTTCATGAAATCGTGTGATATATGTTATTCCTTCTTCCGCAAATCGAGAGAATGACCCTCGCAACGGGAATGTAATAGTTCACAACCGTTCGCTCGGGGCCACCCACGGAAGTGAGCGCCCACCCCTTCACTTCGTTGACACCGTGACATCGACAATCAGCTTTGCAGAGAAATTAAATGGTTCGTGCATGGTTTGAGTAACGCTTTTCAACGCGCAACGTTTGCCTTCGGTGGTTTTTTAATCAGCGGTGTTGAAGCTAGGGCAAAAACGCATTTTTCATACTGGACATGAGTCGAAATAGCGAGTTTCATCCTTTTTTGCCTTGGTTTGTGTCTGCAAATTTCGGGTAACCCTTCGATTAACTTAGCCGGTTTTTAATCGGGTAACTCCTTGTTTGCAACACAATTATAAGCGTTTCGTCCCTACTGAATCAGAATCTGTATTTACTCTGGAGAGATCCGCTGAGCTGTGAAGCTCACAGATGTCCAGTAACGTTTGGTTCATCACGACGAGAGTTTTCGTGCTCTCCTCCCCCACCCAACTCGCATCTCCCACCCCGACCGTTACGGTGGCAGCGGGCGAACGGACAAAGCCGACAACGTAAACGCCCTCAACGTTAAACAGCGGCGGAGATGGAATAAAAAGACGACAGTGCTCCAACTTCACCTGCATCTGCGAGATCGCCAGGAGTATCCTCTGGCGGGACTGCAGGGCGGAGGAGGCTGAGTAGAGGGTGTTGGCTCCGTGCCGCAGGCCCCGCACCTCCTCCCACATGCAGGACAGCTGCACCGACCGCAAGTTGCTTTCGAACCGACCGAATGATAAACGCCGCCGCAAAAGCTCCCGCCCCATCGCAACCACAACACTTTTTTGCTTGACCCACGATAGTTAGTTTAACACGTAGTTGGAGGCTTTCACGAGCAGTATTATCCATAAGAGGTTTTTTTTGGGTTAGATCGCGTAAATATAAATGTGTCATAATCCTCCACCACGCGACACAGCCAGTAAGGTTTGTCACGTAAGCAATGCGTGCCAATTAGTGACTACTTCAGCCCACCGGGGTGTTGGAGAGTAAATCCACAACATTTACTATTTGTGTATTTACCTTTCAACACACCGGTGGATATCTCAACAAATCTGGCTGTCGCCTGATGACGCTGATTGTAATTACCAGCAGAACGTCATATTCGAATTGTAAATGTTGTGGGTTTACTCTCCAACACACCGGTGTTGCTGTACTAGTAACGAATTGTCATGTTTTGTCTACGTGACAAACCTTACTAATTGGCTGTGTCGGGTAGTGGCGGACTTCACGACACATTTATATTTATGAGATCTAACCCAAAAAAATCGCTATTATTGAACCACAATACCTTGCCGATCTCGTTTTAAACCACCACACAAACTACGGTCATCCTCGCAGCAACGGCTTTTGGCTAATCATTGAACAAAGACGGTCACCGCATCGCCCGGCTCCAGACGCGCTTCTGCGGCCGTCAGGAACGCTCTACCGTCTGATATTAGGAAGCCACTGAAAGTATGCACAAATCTCCATTGAAAACTCATTTGTTTAGAACTGCTTTTTGTGTTTACTTTGTTGTGCTGCCCCTGCAACTCTGATTAGCATGGTTGCCTACGTAAGGTGCGACAGCAGTTCAACATACATACATCGCATACTGGTATGTGGCATCGTTTGAAAATTTGTATTGGTATTGCAATCAAATGCACAATGCACTACTCTGTACCTATCTAACGTGTCTCCCAAGATGGTTGCAATGGCACCGATATTAAGCCCACATACTACAATGTTCTATCACGTAGTTAGCACAGTGGACTTGCAATCCAGAGGTAGCCGGATCAATCTCCCTACTTGACAATTGTCAAGTTTCTGAAATCCGCTCGCCACTGTCCACCCCAGGAGCATAACTGCTGGATAAAATGTGGGTACTCCCATTGGGGTGCTAACACCCATTCACGAACTAAAAGCTACTGTTATAATTATAGAGATGTGTTCCATGACAGTGTTTAGTGATCACTTTGACCATGCCAATGGCACATGATGTTCGACTATTACTAAGTGTTTAAGGGGCTCTTTAAATGCTTGGAAGCAGATGGCACAGATGGCTTAACGACTCTCGAACACACAGAGCCCTCTATGAGTAGCAGGCCCCCCCTCCCCCTCCGATTGCTCTGAAAACATCGCAGGAACACATCCTGACCACCGGCACCACTCCCTTCACAGCATCCCAAGCTGCAAGAAGTAAAACGGAATAATTTACTGCGTCCACATGTACACAGGTGGCATGCTGCACTGGTGTAGTGGTTATCACACTGGACTTGCTATCTAGACGTCGCTGGTTTGATCTCTCAACAATGGACGAGTTTCTTAAACCCCACAGCCTTTGTTCCGCCCAACCGCACAATTGGGTGGCACAGTGCGGCGAGTGGCAAGTGGTCTGTGACACGGTAAAGAGAAATTTAACAAAAACACATTCGGCCAGTGTGGAAGATATGGTCAAAATACCCTCCAGAGGGGCTCTATCTCTACAGGGGCTCTGTAAAGCTCCCTCTAGCGGAGGCCCTTTCGCCAGCAGTGGCATGAACAAATCAGGGCTGCATCTTTTGCCTTTTTTTATCATCAGCTATACATCCAGCTAGTCACACTATTTGGTCAAGTGGGCCACTCCAAAACCTCCTCCGGATTGAGCAGACATGCTCGGGCTGATATTGACAGTGACTGCTTGAGAATTGAAGGATGTGGGGAGAGGGGGAAGTGGGTGGGGAGGGGGGTTGAGGGTTGGTGGGGGGGGGGTACTCTGCATTTTCCTGTTTAATGATCTCTGGGTGAGCCACTGTGCAGCATTGGAGTGGAAAGCAATCGCCAGTGAGAGGCAGGCGAGACCCAAGCTCAGATCACTTCAAAGCAATATGATTAAAGCCTGAAAGAGTTTTTGGCATGGCTGCAAGTACAGACTTAGAATAAAACATCTCACTGATTCAGCCTTCAACTGAACTAAATCAATCCCATCTGAGACCACCGTGAAGGCGCGGTTCAAAAAGAAAATAATTCCCCCCCCCCCCACCCGCACATTTTTTTTTCGCTCCTAAATCACGACGACCTAATTTTCACATTTTACTGAAAAGAGGACCGTGGGTTTCTACGAGTGGGGCACGCAGCCAATTAAACGGAAGCATTTAGCAATCACACAGGGACTCCAAATGAATGAATCACCACCGCGACAGAAAGCAGAATAATCTGTATTTTATCGGTTCCTGGTAATTGCACGGTGGGTTTTGTTGTTGTTCGTAAGTTTTCTTGAGAAGTGCCCTTGAGGTTTCTTTGCCACCTTTGTGCGTGTGACAGCAGCTCTGGAATGCTCAAGTCTCCAACCGGATCGTTCATTGGAAGGGCACACTTCATTATGTCCTTTGGAGGGCTGATATTGTTTAGAGAGGACCCAACGTGCCTGCCATGAGTGATGCCCAGTATATAACAAAACAAAGCCGCGCACTCTTCATGTTTTTTTTAATACAATTAACATACACCACCGTAAAAGAAATATGTTATATATGACATATAAACAGTTTATATGCATAATAGCCAGCGAGTAAATCTCATTGCATGTCTTTCCATAATAAAAAGAAAATTATATGTTTGCTGCACGGATTTCCTGGATTGGTTAAGGTATATTTATTTAATCATAAAGCTTCAAATACAACTTGACTCATATTCAGCCTCTAGATATAAAATGTGTACACGTATAAAGAGGGACGTGGTGTAACGGTTAGCACACTGGACTTGCAATACTTATGTTGCCAGTTCAATATCCTGGTGTGGCAAATAAAACATAAATAGACAAAGTTTCTCAAATACCCCCCCCACCCCACTGCCTCTGCCCACCCAGCAGTATAAATGAGAAGATCCTTGATATATGAAAACAGATACTCACTTTGGTGAACCACAGGAAGTCTTGGTTGAGCGGGCTGGGGTAGGAGTCGTCGATTTCCACCACCGGGATCTGATCTTCGTGTGTGACGAGGACAGTCTCCCCCTGGTAGAACACCGTGGCGAGGTAAAGCCCCCTGCACGGCAGAAGGACACGGGCGGCCCCGCAAGAAAATTTGGATGCCCGAGGATTTGGCTCGAGTCACGGCCATGCCAACCTAGGAGGTGCAGCGATGATGTCGGATCGTGTGCAGGCTGTTAGGCATTCACATCGCAGAACCGCAACAACCACGGCGGTAGCTTGGGGAGGGAGCCTTCGTCCAGCAGCAGTAGATTAACTATTGCTGATGATAATGATAACGACAGCCATGCAGCAACCGGCACACTCTCACATATACACGCATTTAATGACAGCAATGGCACATGACGATGTGATACGTTAATTTACTTAAGAATGTAAAGTTTATATCTATATATGTATCACAAAGTAGGTGTGCATTGATGCGTGCCCAGCCTCCAGCATCCCGCGTCCCTCAATCCCAAGGATGCAAAAAGTTGACAAGAAGAATATCGTGGTGAACGGCGGTGCCTCACGTGGCTGCAGTGTCACGTCAACGAATGACGTGCAACATATGGGCACGCACACCGAAACATACATTGGGGACCGTGACACGGCCTCGCTGCAGCGCGTTCACCGCTGGTTGCAGAAGCTCAATGGTTAAAATCCGGCAAGATGCTGGGGGTCTGGGCATGAAGCGTCGCACACTTACTTTGTGATGTATATTAACTTGACATTCCTCAGTTAATTTAACATATCGCATCGTCATTGGTCATTGCTGTCATGGAATGAATACCCCCGGGTGTGTTAACCGTAAAAACTACGTGCCGTCTGCCTCAGAGTGGACGTTAAATATCCCATGAGGTCACTGCCAGAAGTAAGCCTTTGTGTGCTGGCGTCATGGTGCAAATTGACCAAAATGTGAAAAATTACCGGCAAATTGCTCAATTGGAATATATATTTATATTCTGCAATCATCGCCCCCCCCCATTGCTAATCCTTGCCAGGACCCCATGATCAGCCTTGATCTATCCACTGCTGCACAAAAGCTCCCCCAAGTTTCCACCTTATTTCCTCGAAGCTGCAATGCGACAATCGCCAAGTTCCTGCGCTGATTTCACCACTCAGTCTTCTTGGTGGATGTGGCCCACGCACACAGACGTGACTACTGTTTGAATGTCTCATATTTAACTGTACATCTTGCTACTGTTTTTTTCTTTCTTAAAGAGAGGCACTGGGATAGAGTGTGGCGCTGGGAATGCGACACTTGTGAACCTCCGGTGATCCATTCAGGGACAATGCAGCTGTTGGGATTGTGTGGTCAGCTGTCTTTATGATGGATATAATACCATAGCAACCACAACAGTACAAATCACAGCATTAAACATGATTTTTTTCTCTCTCTAAGTAGCAACGCTCCGGTCCATGGTTGTCTAGCGGTAACGTATTATGAGCGTGCGTTTAACTAAATGTTGTTGTTGTTGTTATTATTGTTCCATGTACTCTTGCCGGAACTTCTCAAGTAGATGCGGATGGTTGTGGGGGGATTGTGGGTGGAAGAGAGGAGTGGCAGGGACAGGGCGGTAAGGGGTGTGAGGGTAATGGGCAGAGGGAAAAATTATGTGAAACAAAATAACAGTTGGAGCACGAGCTACCATACCGATAAACCCGGCTGCATCAGCTAAGGAGCAAGGACATCGGTTGAAACAGGCAGCCTTGTGTAAACGTGACTAAATCAAGCATGCACAATCACACGCACAGAGCCAGAGTCAACCACCCACCCACGTCTGGGCTTCAGCCTCCAAAGATGTAATTACAGTAGTTTACCTTTTCAGACTCTTGACAAACTTGCTGGTTGACTGGAAGAGATACTTGAGGCTCTTGGATACGGAGTGTTTACGGCTTGGACCCTGAATCTTGGAGTTTTCTGCACGAAATAAGAAAGAAAGCAATTATTGCCTCATTTCTCCCTTTCATTTATTTCATTTTGCCGTGGTTTAGTCGCTTTTTTTAGTTTAACAACTTGGAGTTGTCGCGCTGCTGCTACTGCTGCTGGCAGAGACAATGCGCTGCTACATTTTCTACTAAGTGATTTCTATGCTACGAGCCAATTGAGTTGTGTTTGGAGGCTGGCACGAGCTGATACGTGAGCCGTTAGACAAGGCACTTTAAACTGGGTCTTTTTTTTGGTGAAAATTGGTGAAGCTTGCAGCCGATAATTTAGGTGAAATAACATTCAGCATTAATTACATTGGAAGGAATTAAATTCGTTGTAATAAATACTAATGCAAGTGAACTACAAATGGAATGCACGCATTTAGTGTGTTTTGTAATTACTGCACATTAATGCCACAGCTGTAATAAATCACCTTAATATTGGTAAAAAAAATGAAAACAAGACATCAATTGAAGGTGTTGTTCTTGGTAAAAAAAAATACACTTTTTAATTTGCTATAAACAAAATTGTGCAAGGAACACAAATCAAACGATTAAATACACAATTATCCGAACTTTCATCAACATCGTTGGATTATGGACCTCACACTGATTATGTTCAGTGAAAAGAAAACATGATTACGATTTTATTAAGTTGTAATGAAAACATCTAAAGTAGCGCATAGCACAGTGGTTGTTGCTCCAATGTGGTTTTAATTCCCCCCCCCCCTCTTGGTCTTAATAGAGTTCGATGACAGATCGTCTTGTTTAATTCGGGCTTCATTAAAATCTATTTACAAACATTCACTGCACAATTTGGACTCCTCGACTGGCACAGGGCAAGCGGCAGTGATGCACCTAGCCCAATGTGTCTCCCCTGTGCCCTGAACGAGTCGAACGAGATGGCAAACAAATCCATAAGCAAGGCCTACACACATGGAGCAGGCCTTGGAGCTCACTGGTGGGGCCGTGACCCTTATTTCACAGATAAGAGAAGATAATCCTGTTGCAAAACATCATTAAATACAAAAATATAGATCGGAATGTGAACAAAATGTAAAGGAATTAAAACATTGGTCACTATGGATATAGTCTAGTCTTCTGAAAAAATAAATGCTTCAAAATATATTTGTTCTTCAAGGTAAAGGGTGCAGCCCTAGGATTCCTATCCCACTGCTGGTGGAAAAGCCTTCACGAGAGAGAGCGAGCGAGCTCCAGAGAAGCCTTATAGAGGCTGGCCCGACATTGTGGAATACCTGTGAGAATCCACGCTTTACCCCACCACATATGACCTGCCGGTTGACTTTGGTGTATCCACTTATACTGCTGGGCACGCAGAGGTGGGAGGCATTTAATAAACTCACCCATTGCTTCAATTTGTGAGCGCAATGCGAATGCATTGTGCTCATCATTACAGCATGGCACAATCCGTTTGTACTCCTTCAAAGAATAAACTTTTCTACGGCACGAACATTTCGGAAAGTTTAGCCCACCAGGTCCTGATCCCATCCACAAGAGGACGAGAGATGAATCATGCCGCGAGGTCACTTCACCGCGGCTGGTGCCGCGCGATGCTGTAACTCAAGCGAGCGGAGGCGGCCACTGACACGAGGGGCTCACTCTGCCGTGATGGATCGCGCTGCTCGCGGCTTGCACGAGGAAGGCCGAGAGTCGAGAGTGGCGGCGTCCGCCCCGGCGAGCCCCGCCGTTTGTTGATTCGTCACCGAGCATCATGATGCGCACCGTCGCTCGAGGCTGACTGCCAAACGCCGCTTGTTGACACTTAGAGGTGTCACTCGTGCACCACACAGATAGCCGTGTCGTGCAGATCGCCTTCCATGAATTGGCGTCGTCATCAACAGCCACGGTCGATCGGCTGCTGGATGACGGCCTCTCCAAGTCTCAGCAGCAACGGCTTTTGGCTGCCCATCGCACGCTTTCAGACGCGCTTCTGTGGCCGTCTGGAATGCTCTTCCTTCAGATATTAGGAAGCAACTGGAGCTATACGCTTTTAAATCGAGATTGAAAACGCATTTCTTAGGAACTGCGTTTTGTTTAGTTTGTTGTCCTTCCCCCGCACCTCCGATTATCACGGTTGGCAAAGTACGGTGTGAAAGAAGATCAACATGCATCCATCTCAAAATCATTTGATAACATTATCTACTTAGCACCTGCACACACGCTGATTTAATTGCTCCAACTCCTGGGTGGCAACTTCGTAGACACGTTCCAATCATTGGCTGCCAACTCCATCATTATATTTGACCATAATCCATCATCCCTTTTAGGGATGTGTCTTTCCTAAGCGCACTTACTTTGCTTCAGCATTTCAATTATGTCTTTGGCCTGCATATGATTTTCGAATAAATGTGTTCCTCTTTATATCACTCGATGTAATTCCAAGCATGGATCCCTCCATGTGTCTTTGTATAATTTTCAGTTTTGTACATTTTTTAGGTAGTCAATTAACTTTGCTTTGTTCATATTCATCTTTAGCCCAATTTTTCAGTCTTTTTAACGAAGTACTAACATTTTCTGCAGTTCATTCCCACTGGAAGTTATAATCACTGTTACCGGCAAAATATGACATGGTTATATAACGTCACAATTTTAATGGCGTATATCATTATTACTCTTTGGTTCTTTCGGTCAATTCACGTAAAAAGAAAATAAATTAAATTATTATTTTCTTTTTACGTGAACTTTACCGAAAGAACCAAAGAGTAATTCTTGCAGTCACAAAAGCTTCAAATCAAGTTTGTATATCATTGTTATTCGTGTAACTGACAGTACGTGTGCTCTATATGCATTACAGGTTGTAATTATTATGAAAACCGATGGCAGCAGGGTTATGATGAGTGAACTGCAGTTGATAATCTTACAAGTAATTTATAATCATAATGGAAGTACAGTGGTGCACAAATAATACAATACAAATGTGAAAAACAATTGCAAGATTGTGAGAAACAAAATTCATGATAATCATCAAATTGTGATATTTGGTATGGTATTCTATCTTCAGTTTAACATGTAAGCATTCGCAACCAATATTATCCATCATAGAGGTTTTGGGTGAGATCGTGTAAACGTGTCATTAAACCCGCCACCACCCGACACAGCCAATTAGTGAGGTTTGTTACGTAAACAAAACATGCCAACTTGTTGCTCTCCAACACACCTGTGGAATTTGTTTACGTGACAAACCGTACTCATTGGCTGTGTCAGGTGGTGGCGGGTTTAACGACACATTTATATTTACGCGATCTAATCCAAAAGACCTCAATCATTATATCTTCGTTGCAACCTGAAGCTAAAATAATGGCACCTTATCCGCATGAGCTAGGCTTACATGGAACAGCTCTTCCAGCACTGAGTGTGGCACCGGATTCTTTTTGACCAGACCCAATACAAAGATCCAGTCACACAAAAACCCTCTAAAGAGAATATAGGGGTGGAGGGAGGGGGAAATTATATTGTTCGGAAATGCAATGTATACAATTTGCATACCTTCATTTAACGCCATGTGACCTAATAACTTTTTGGAGCTTTCAAAATGCATGTTCCCATAGTATTTTATTTTATGTCTATTATTACAAAATATTTCGCTGAAGGCATTCGCAATGGGTCTAGCATTATTATACAATCCAGTGCTAGAGTTGTCGCATTCTTAAAAGTTTCACAATTGTGTCTCAAGCAAGTTTTGCAATAAATGCTACGAAACGAATCAACTGTGCACGTTTTAAACGGGCAAGAGTTCTGAAAGCTTAGTTTTCTATATTTTGACATGTCCTTCTGGCATCTGCTTAAGAATGCTGCGTTGTTTTTATTTTGCCTCTCCAAACCTTGAATATAGTGCCTTTGTAGTAAGTATATGGAGGCTTGACGACAGGATCGGAGGCACACTTATTTATTACACCAACACAGTTATTACAGGTCACTTGGCTACAGGGATTTCTCGACAGCTAACCCCTCTAACCTATACCAATTCCTCCACTACGGGACTAGGGGAGGCTATCTGTCCTAGCTTGGTTAAGCTGGGATCCCGGCTCCCTGAGTCACCAGACCAGCTTCGTCTGGGCTCTCGGGGCCACGCCACCGGCTTGCCCTGGTCGGCCCTTATAAGGACAGCGAGCCAGGGGAGCTCTGGGGCCTACACTAGCTGGTCTTCCGTCTTCTCTGGTTAAAGCTGAGTCCCGACCTCGAGCCCTCGAGCTCATCACCTTTTATAGGACTCGCCCCCGAGGGGGGGCCCGTGGGGGATACACATGCGGACGTCGGTGCGAGCGCCACCCTTGTGTACGGCCGTAACCCCGCCCCTTGTGTTTGTTGGCCATCCGTGGCCATGCATAATCACACCTCAACATTCGTAGCCATGCGCAATTACACCTCTACATCACCACCCCCTGTACAGCTTGCAGCCGTCCCTGGCTGCAAAAAAAATCTGAATAAAGGTGCATCCCTCACGAAAACCCCGTGTGTGTGCCTCGCGTAATTTTTAACAAGAACAAGAGAACCTCAACAAGAACAACAACAGGAAGAGAGAGAGAGAGAGAAAAAAAATAACCCGACGCACCCCCCCCGAATAAATACCCCAAAACCAACATATATACACACACTCCGGACGCCACCCCTCCCATTGTCCGCAAGGCCCCCCAACGGCCGACCTCACAATAGTCTGCGCGTTTTGGCGCGCGTTCTCGCGGCGGGCCCGTCACAAGGGCCCGTCCTGGCACGCTCAGTGACGGTTGTTGACGGTCCGGGTGCAAGAGAGTCAGGCGTCGCTGCCGAGTGACCCCCGACCCCTCCGGGAGGGGTTGGTGGGTGTGGACCCGTCACTCCTGTTGCGCCTGGGGACGGAACAGTTGATGTCGGGTTAGGCGAGTGCAGCGACGTCGGGGAGTCGGCGGAACCCTCACACGTTTGGCCATGCGTGTGTGTGTGTGAACCACGGGGCGGCGCGATGAATGGTTTCAACCTTGAGGGGTGCACATA